CCGAGGTCGACGTCAATCACGGCCAGAAAGAGACAGACTCCGAGTGACATCGGCATAACTTGATAACGGAAAAGGCGAGTTATCCGTGATTGGTCGAGGATCGCGGCGTGAATCTCGGAACGGATCAATCTACGTCGGTTAATAAGATGTTAATATGGTTTCCTACTATAATTAGAAGTGTACCTTATTTAGGATTCCTCTATTATATAAAGAAGGATCACATTCATTTGTAATCATCATTGTTCACTAAGAAGAATATATACGCTCGTTACTTTCCTGCTATTACACTTACTGTTCATCAGAGTTACTTTATCATTTAATGTTCTTACTATTCCACCTTGAGACTATCCTCAGACGATGTCGAGACTTGGTTAGCATATCAGTTTGATTTATTTTATTCTCTAATTTATTTATTTAATTTCTCGCTTATCAATTGGTATTGGACGAAATCACATATCCTTAAAACCAGAATATAAGTTTAATTATAATCCGAATTTGAGGGTAAACAGTTTGGCGCCCACCGTGAGGCTAAGGATAATAGTGATTGTTCGGTGCTGATTCTGATAACACATATTATTTTACGCTTGTTGTTGTCAAGTATCTTTGCTCTCAGGTTAAAATATTTGAAACTCATAAAACGCACCTACACATAGTGACAATGGCCTCGGGTTTCACAGGGAAAACGACAATGTAATTGCTCCAGTAGCCGAGGTGCCATAGGCTAATCTTGGGGGAGCACCAGTTGCCAATCCAGTCAATATCAGTTCACACGTTGCTTTAAATAAAGACCGAGGCACAGACCCCGAAGGGAGTGTACGCAGAGAAGGCCGATCTAGTGGCCAAGGTACACATGGCAGAGGAGATGGAGGAGTCAGTCTCCAAGTGATATTCGAGATGCTACAGGCTCAACAAGCCACTATTTCTCAGCTATAAAATCAACATAGATCTCCAAGTGGGGTCGAGCCAGAAATCACTCGTCGTACCGAGCCAGTACCTGAGAGGTCGAATGGTAATGAATTGGGGACCGATCATGTAATAATGAAAATGTTCGAGGAACTCACCAAAAGAATTGAGGCAAGAGAGAAGAAAATCGAAGTTAATGATAAAAAAAAGGAAACATACAACTCCCGAGTTGATCAGATACCGAGGGAACCGCCAATCTTGAAAGGTATGGATTCGAAGAAATTCGTACAAAATCCGTTACCTTCGAGTGTGGCTCTGAAACCCATTGCAAAGAAGTTTCGTATGACGGAATACCTAAATACAGTGGGACCACCGATCCCAACGAGCATCTCACCTCCTACACATGTTCCATCAAGGATAACAATTTGGAAGATGATGAGATTGAATCTATTTTATTGAAGAAGTTCGGGGAAACCCTATCGAATGGAGAAACGATTTGGTACCACAATCTACCAATAAATTCCATTGACTCGTTTGTCATGTTGGCAGACTCGTTCGTAAAGGCACATACCATAGACATAAAGGTTGCGACAAGGAAATCAGACCTTTTCAAATTAAGACAGAGGGATAATGAAATGTTGAGGGAGTTTGTATCCCGATTTCAAATGGAATGCATGGAGTTGCCACCGGTCACAGATGATTGGCCATTCAAGCTTTTACTCAAGGATTGAATGAAAGAAGTTCGATAGTATCACGTAAACTGAAGCAAAATATGATCGAGTATCCGGCTGTAACTTGGGCAGATGAACACAATCGGTACCAATCAAAGATCAGGGTCGAAGATGACCAATTAGGAGCTCCTTCTGGTTTAGTGCACCCAAACAAGTCAGCCGCCAAAAATCAGAGGGACATCGATAGGGAGCCAAGATCGAACAAAGACTAATTTCAACCGTACACCTCAGATCACAGGAACAGTGGTCCAGGATACAATTTCGCCCCAAACAATCGGAGAAACGATCGAGGACAGAATTCTCTGGGACTCATGAGAAAAACTGGTTTTGATAAGTACGCCAAACCTACAGAGGCAACTCGATTGTCGGAGTATAATGTTAGTGTCGATGCATCAAGCATGTATCGACAATTGGAAGAATCAAAGATACCATATGGTCCAGGCCCATACAAATCGATTCCTCCTAAATGAACCCTGTTCTGATGTGTAAATATCATGTCATGCATGGTAACAGGACCGAGGATTGCTGGCAATTGAGAGAGGAGGTAGCCCATTTATTCAATGAGGGCCACCTTCGAGAATTCCTAAGTGATCGAGCCAAGAATCATTTCAAGGAAAGGGATGCCAACAGGAAAAATGAACAGGAGGATCCGCATCATGTCATTCATATGATCGTTGGAGGGGTCGATATTCCACAAGGGCCCATGCTCAAATGCACTACGGTATCAATTAATAGGGAGAAACAGACCCGAGACTATGTGCCAAAAGGCGCCATATCATTCAATAACAAGGAGGCAGAACAAATTTCTCAGCCTCACAATAACGCTATAGTAATTTATATATTATTAAATAAAGTTCAAGTTAAGTGTGGTTTAGTGGATCCAAATAGATTGGCAAATATCATCAAGGGTCGTGGAGCAGCTCGGCCTACAAGATCAGATTATACCCGCAACTCGAGCCTTAAACGGTTTCAATATGGCCAGTGAAACAACTAAAGGAGAGATTATCCTATCGGTGAATTTGGATGGAACTATCCAAGATACTAATTTTCATGTAATAGAGGGCGACATGAGGTACAACGCCCTGCTTGGGAGGCCTTGGATCCACAACATGAGGGCAGCCCCTTCGACTCTCCACCAAATGATGAAATCCTCAATGCCGGACGGGGTAAAAATGTTGTACGGGGAGCAACATGCTGCAAAAGAAATGTTCGCGGTCGATGAGGTAATACCGATATCGGCGCTATCAACATCGGAAGAATCAGGCATCAAGGGTAAACAGGAAGCAAAATAGCAATCACCGCCACCAGCATCGACCGAATCGGAGAAGCGGGAAATGGTAGAGGAAGAGGAAGATTTTTTGACCCCTCAAACTTTTGTTGTTCCCGAAGATTCCGACGCCACCAAATCAACAGTCAAAGAGTTGGAACAGGTTATATTGATCGAGTACCTGCCCGAGCAAAAGGTATACTTGGGAACATGATTAACCCCCGAACTCAGGAAAAAGCTTATTCAATTTTTATTGATAACATAGATTGTTTTGCTTGGTCCCACTTAGACATGACAGGGGTCCCGCCGAAGGTAACAACTCATCGACTAAGCCTGGACCCAAAGTTCAGACTGGTGAAACAAAAGAGAAGGCCCCAGTCCGATGTAAAACACGCATTCATAAAGGACGAGGTAACTAAACTTCTCAAAATAAGGTCCATTCGGGAAGTGAAATATCCCGAATAGTTAGCCAATGTAGTCGTAGTTCCTAAAAATGAACAAACTTAGGATGTGTGTAGTAAGAATTTAAACAAGGCATGTCCCAAAGATTCTTTTCCACTGCTTAACTTTGAACTCATGATCGACGCCACGGCCGGCCACGAGATCATTAGTTTTCTCGATGCCTATTCCGAGTACGATCAAATTCAAATGAATGCGGAATGCCAAGAAAAGACTTCATTTATCACCAAGTATGGAACATATTGGTATAATGTAATGCCTTTCGGGCTAAAAAAACGCATGAGCTACCTACCAACGCCTAGTAAATAAAATGTTAGAAGAACAAATAGGTAAATCAATGGAAGTATATATTGATGACATGCTAGTTTAATCCCTGTGAGCAGAGGACCATTTGACACATTTGCAGGAAACATTCAAGATAGTGAGAAAATACAACATGAAGCTCAACCCCGAGAAATGCCTTTTCGGGGTCGGTTCGGGCAAGTTCCTTGGCTTCATGGTGTCGAATCGGGGAATCGAGATCAACCCGATAAAATCAAGGTTATTGAGCACATCACCGTCATGGACAACGTTAAAGCCATGCAAAGGCTGACGGGGCGGATAGCTGCCTTAGGCCGATTCATATCGAGATCGTCGGATTGGAGTCATAGATTCTTCTCTCTACTCAAAAAGAAGAACGATTTTGCCTGGACACCGGAATGCCAACAAGCATTAGAAGAATTGAAGCGATACCTCTCGATCCCACCATTGTTTCATACCCCAAAGGCAGATGAAAAACTCTACTTGATTACAAAAACAGTGTTTTAAATAATAATTTAAAAAGACTCTTTTTGCGGCCTGAGGGGGTGGGGTGGGAANTTCCCTTCTATTGATAAGGAAAATATTTTCCTCCAATTGGAAGAAAATGAGTTCATAAGGATAATGTTTTCCAAAACATTTAAGCCAATCAAACATGGGAAAATTGGAAAATGTTTTCCTTCATATCAAACACACCCTTTACATTTTGCCAGCTATTATTTTTTAGAGCGGCTATATTGTGTAGTTTTTCCTAGTTTGAACAAATCAAAGCCCAGTATCAAATACCGTAACGTCAGCCCACTCCAAACGTGTTGATAAGTTGGTAAAAATAGTACGGGCTAGCTAGTTTTCGGAATGGCCATTCAAAAATAACCAGTGATTGCAAAGTCATTGAAAAATAGCCACTATTTTGCTGCAACACGAAAAGTTCCAGCATAATATACTGGAGATCGATGCACATGTGTATGAACTTCGAGCATATTATGCTGGAACTACAACACGCGGAAAGTTCTAGTATAATATAGAGTACTGGTGCTTCAATCTCCAGTATATTATGTTGGACCGGTATATTATACTTGAACTTCAGTATATTATACTGGAGTATTTTTCCGGATTTTGAACAGTGTTTTTGTTCAGATTTATCTTTATATGAAAAGTGGCTAAATTTCAATTACTTTTGAAATTGTGACTATTTTTGAATGATCACTTGTAAATCTGGTCGGACAATCGAGTCGAGTAAGAAACAAATGTGGTTTCCCAACTCCGAAATCACACAAGCACGAAGCTGAGGATATGAGTCTAATAATCATATCCTTTTTTTACTATAAGAAGAGTGGAGGGAACTAAAATTATTTAAAAATCAAATAAATTCTTTACAATAAGAAGAGTACAACTGCTCTAAAAAGCTGGGATTAATTATACCATAGACGATGGTGCATTGATTTAGTAGCACCATCTTTACCCAGTGATCCATAAAAAAATTACTCCTAGCAATGAGGGAATATAATTGGAAGGAAAGAATTGGAGAAAGAAACGAACTAGCTAGCCCCCAAATGCTTGTTTGGGGAATGGGGGAAAAGGGGCCTCTTTTAGTATGACTTATGAACATTTGATGCAATTAATTGTTGTGTTTTTCAACAGACAGGCAAATCGACTGGAGGATCTTCCAATGATTCCAATTCACTAACTCCATTTTCCACCAGGAAAGACATGGCCAAACCCCAAGTTATATGAACATCCAAGTGGCAGTGCATTAACCAGACTCCTATTTAACAACAACAACAAAATGTAAGTCCAAAAGCTCGATGCGGAGAAGAATTGGAATTTATAAAAGGATTGGAATTATATACACTGATAGTGAAAATATATTTTCAACAAAAAATTATAATGTTGTTTTGGAGGGTGCATTCATCTGTTGAATCTGATACCGATAGTATCACCCCCCAAAACAACATTCTCCTTCAGGCTTTACAACCAATCAATACGACCCCGGAGAGTCTCTTAGGTCCCCAAATTACGATAGAAAGTTTCACCTTCATAAATCAAGGTTCATATTAGGGATAGCATGTTCATTATCATTTTTATCATATTACCTATAAATTTCTATCATAAAGATTTATCTTGTAATTGTTTCTAAGTGACCTAATTATGTTATATAGTTTATACTGACGGTGAATAAAACTTAAGTTTTTTGTATGCCATAAAATAAATATTTGTGGCCCTTTTCTGTTCTCACCTGGGTTGTCAGCAACAAATCGGATGACTGACCATCCATTGACAGGTAAACTTGCCGTGTTTCTACGAGGTGGGTCAACAAGATTGAATTTAGCTGTATCAGTTTGAGGATTAAAGTTCCCAAAGCCCTCAGCAATGATGTAAAAATCATATCCATGAAGATGGATTGGGTGGTTTTCACCTGTGACAATGCTTGTTCCCTGTAATACAACTTGCACTTTTGCCCCATATTTTAGCTTGTAAACCTTAGTTCCTGGAACTGGTTGCCACAGTGATTGGCTGACATTACCCGTATAATCAAATTTCACAAGTGGGACTGCTGGGAAATCAGTTGAAAAAATTCCAGGTATGCCTTGTTGATGTGCTTGCAGAATGGAGAAGTTGGGCGGTAGCACAAAAGACACATTGTTCATACTGGCAGCGAATCGAGTTCCATTTGGACCTTGACAACTGCTGGAGCTTGCACCTAGTTTGAAATAATAAACTTAAATGTTAAACAAGTGTTCTCTTGAGTTATTCAATGACCAATGTGTCATCCTAGAATATTTATTTTCTTCTATTTGTTGTTCATGCAACTAGGAGTTTAAGGAACGTTATGAAGAGCTTAGCTTGTATTTTATGAAGAGCTTAGTATATTTTAACGCACCTTTCGGGCAATTTTTGAGTCCCAGCCCAACTGTAATGAACAAGTTCTCATCGATTTCAGTGGGCAACTCGACCTTGCTTGGACTTCTGAAACTTGTTGTGAATGCAGTGGCTGTGGCAGTGTCGTTAAATGGTGGTAAAGATGGAAAAATTGGATTGATCTTGATCCCCTGAACAGCGCAAGGAGTATTCTTGTACTCAAGGATAGCAGTGGTAGTAGTGTTGTCAAAAGGTGCACCTTGAGCACTTGCGTAAGCTTGTGCTGCCATGTAGTATCTGGCTGGTGGCTGGTTACCAGTGATAAGGACATCAGTAGTTTGGCCTGGACCTAACATAAGCACTGATGTGGTGAAGGGTTGAACATAAGAGGCGTCTGCTCCAACAACAGTTAACTTGTGGTTGGCCACAGTGAAGAAAAGCTGCTGATTTAGTGCAGCGTTGATAACTCGAAGAAGGCTGGTCTCACCAGAGTCCACAAGCACTATGGTAGTATCTGCATAAAGGTGAATCCAACATGATAGCTGAGCATGTTATATATTCTGAATCCAAACTAATGAACGCTCGCATGAACTAGTTAGTATGGCAATATCTTTATATATATCTTTATTGAGCATTAGTATCCGCATGCTTTTTATTGATTATCATAGAAGAGCATTGAAGTTTTCAACACACTTAGAGATAATTTTGGCTCTGTTATGCGATCATGAATCTTAGTGTACAAGGAGTAGAGATACCAGCTCTATTGATTATGTTTTCAATATTTGAAAGGTATATTTCTTGGTATATGTTTCAAGAATTTAACTTCTACGCAACTGACGCTATATAAAATATTTACACCATTAAATCAGTTATAACATACTCCCTCTATATCAATTTTTAGGACAGACTCTCATAATTTAGTCTGTTCCAAAAAGAATGAAATATTTTTATATTTGGAAAATTTAACTTTGGATTTTGTATTTTACCCATTTTATTTTTAATAAGAAACTTTTATAGCCACACAAATGTTACGGCTCCACAAAGCTTTTGCCCTTTAAGCTTTTAAAATCACAAATTTAAAAATCTTATTTTTTTTAAATCTTCGTGCTAGAGGTAAACTAGTAATGTCATATAAATTTAAACGGAGGAAGTATAAGGTAATCACATTTACAAGTAATCTGTGTGATAAGCAGTAAGAATTATTAGATACCTGGTAAAGATGATAATCGCCTGCTATCGCAGTAAATTAAACTACATCATCAATAGTTAAAAAGTCTTTACACTATGTATATGACTTAAATTGATCATGTTTCAAATGTTTCGGAGATTGGAACAAACCTTTACTTGAACACCTGTAGAGGTCACCTGGTTGACCATTGATGGTGTATGCATCTGATACATTAGGCGCTGCACCCGTTCGTGTGGCCTGTCTTACAACATCAATAGGGTTTGCATCCCACCACTCACCTAATCACAAAATTTCAAACCATAATTTTGATCTGGAACTACTGCTTGGCTGGTAGTATTTGTTTTCAATTCTTTCGCTTATTTTGGGCAGGAATGAGTACCTAGCAGAATGGGTGTCTCTCTTCTTGGGTTAGGAAATGGGTAGAATTCTCCTTCTTTTGGGTGGATTATTAAAGCTCCGTAAACAGTGGCCCTGAGCCATGAGCTGTGGGCGTGCCACCAAAGTGTGCCTTCCTGTTCTTGAATTGTAAAGCGGTAAGTGTAACTCCCTCCTGGTCTAATTGGGCATTGTGTTATAAATTCTGGTCCATCTGCCCATGCTGTTCTTATTTGCTTAACTCCATGCCTATCGAAATGCAACAAAGTTGTAAAAACCACACGAAATAACATTGCATATGTATGATATCACTGCGTTCACATATATATATATATATATATATATATATATATATATATTGTAGCAGGTAAGATGCTTTATTTAACCAAGTTACTTATTTCACATCTTAGTAGTTCATTTTGCATTATGACATGCATGCTTCTTACCAGTGAATGGTGACATTGTATCGAGCTCTGTTGACCACGTTGATGACTAAAGTATCGCCATTATTCACTTCCAATGTTGGTCCAGGGAATTGTCCATTCACTGTTATAGTGTTATGGGTCTTGCACAGCCTCTTTACTGGTGTTGCTTGAATCTGTTTCATAACAACAGAGGTTAGGATCCTCCAATTCTAAAAATAAAAAAAAAAAAATGTTAGTAAGACAAAGAATTAAGGGAAACATGAATGACATACAACAAAATGGTGGTACTGTGTTTTCGCATTTGCAAAGAGAAGTAAAATGGAGATGAAGAAAAAATAGCACAAAGGGTTGGCCATGCTGTTGCAGGCATCCAATATTATGGTTCTTTTCTTAATTAAACTGTCAATTAATGGAAAATTCATGCGTAGTGCTTATTTTTAAAGAATAGAGAGAGGGTGGTTTGAGGTTGGCAGATTAGGTTTTAATTTAGCATGAAGGTCAGCTTAGAGGGCAGAACTTAGAAGTTGGTGCACCCACTATATATATATANTCTTGAGGTTACTATTTTATGTTTTCACTTCACATTGTGAGTATGCTCTTTTCCACCAAAGAGATGTTTCTTGTTATGATTATACACAATACCACCTATCTATCACATTAATTAAAGGAAACTTTTCCTTCTATCGTTAATCTTGAGTGGTAGCAAAACCTTGACAACCCAATCTTGTTTGACTTAAAAATTTCAGTTAGAAGAACCTAAAACACGACATGCTTTGACTTTTTCAACATGATCTCAGTGAACAACGTCAAAAGGAAATCCGAAGATGTTGAACAACTCGGTCAGATTGCTCCGGATTAAGCATACTTGGAACGACAAATTGATTCAAACGTCTTAAAATAGTTTGCTATCAAACCCAACACCCGTTTGTGTTTGAATTTCTCCCTATTTCTAGAATTGTGCTTTGTCTTCTGTTTTTCTTGAAAGCTCATATTCACAGTTTTAGTTACGAGTGGTTGTGATTTATGAACACTTTTAAGTATATCTTTAGTAGTCAAAAACTGAGAAATTACGTACCAATTATTAATGTTACGTAAATTTTTTTTGAAAAAAAATATTAGGAGTACCATAAGACAGCATCGGTTTTATGGCTAATATCTTGAGGAAGTAGTAATACATGCTAGTATAATAATTACAAAAATCAACGACCACCAAAACAGAGCAGCACTTGTGTTTACAGCCAACAGCCCAGAGTAACATTGTCTACTAAAGCAACTTTCCAACAAACACTCTTCGAGCCCGTTTGGACATAAGAATTTTCTTCTTCTTTTGTCGATTTTTTTTTTTCAAAATCAGCATTTGTTCATAAAATTTCCAATTTTCACTTGAAGATGCATTTTGGAATTTTTTGAAAATTTGAAAAACTCCAAAAAGCTGTTTTTCAATTTCACTCACAAAACTTCAAAAACAACCCAAAACTATATCCATGTCCAAACATAACTCTAATTTTCAAATATCATTTTCCCTTGATTTTTTTTTTCACTTTTTTTGGAATTTTACAATTCTTATGTGCAAACGCCCACTTAGTTACATTTTGAGAGCTACAACAAACAATCTTTAATAAGCATCATATAGTATAAGAAAGAAGCAGAAGTGTCCATCTTGTAAAACTTGAGCAGCAGAGTGACTCTGTCAAAGAAAAGCAACAGATGGCCTTAACGCACATATCTTGATGTCATAATTAGTTGTACAAGCTGAGAGCCCATCCCAATTAGGTGTTGCATCTGATCCTGACTTCACATTAATATTTTTCTTGGCAAGAGAGGCAGCACTTGTATTATTATTAGTATTTACTATATGAGCAATACCAATGTAACTACTACAATTGCGACAGAAAAGTTTAGTATGTTGTTTAAAGAAACCCCACGAGTTTTTGGACCTAAAATAAGGTGAGCATCTAAGTTTACTTATCTGAGTAAATCTGCTCTTATCAATGCATAAAAATGAGAGTACCCCTCTCCTCATTGTTTTCCCATACTTTGATCCAATGACTCTATAGTATTCCGATTGCAAGAGTTGAGGTTCAACTCATATCCACACGATCCACAACTGAAACAAGAATAACTAAGCAAATTTTGTTAGAACCGTTATCACAATATCCTGTATTAATTTCATGAGAGAGAGTTTGCCTTCTTTTTATTCCCTCCAATTCTTGAAACCTTGCGCTTTACTATCAAAATCAGAAGAAAAGAAATCCAATTCCAATAACGGAGTATAATTAAGACGGGAAACTCAAAAAGCCTTTCGATCCAGAAGCAGTTAAATGACGATAAATTCACCTTCATTTTGGTTGTACATTGTGTAGTAATTCTTGTACCTTCCAATCTACTAATATACTCTCGCCATTCCATTTTATGTGATAAAATTTAAATGGATACGGAGTTTAAGAAAGAAACAAAGAAAAAAAAAGTTTTAAAATATGCTATCTGAAACAAATAAGAAGTTTATGATTACTGTTTTTAAGTATAAAAAACATATCAATTTGTTTTTTTAAAACATAGTAAAAAGGAAATAGATATCTTATAAATAAATTAGGAGGGACAGAGTAATAAATTTCTACAACTAGAAGAAAGTAGTATAAATAAAAACCTTACCTGTAAGTGACGCCTCTTTCAGCATTGCTTATGAGATGAGAGGAAAAGGGAAGAATATCATTAGCAGCTAGTGATTGTGAAGAGCAGCTGAAGAAATCTGTTTCGGCCAACATCTTCAAATTGAGAATATAACCCTTTTTATTACTCCTCTCTCGAAACAAGTCTCTGCATATATGCAGTGTTGATATATATATATATATATATACTCTTGTCTTATGTGACAGCTAGCTTCACACTTTCGGTAAGGCTCCTAACGGTAACTAAGCCTAGGAATAATTGTATGCTAAGTATTAAACTGTCATCTGCTTTCTGAGTTAGGGCTTGGATGTCTTACACGTGTTAAATTTGATATTATAGGGTGTTGGATTAATTAGACTTGAAAGGGTTCACAATTTATTTTTCTTAAATAAAAGCTGCAATAATAGTATCTCTCCTTCCTTATTAATGACGATATTAATTAATTGAGTACGGATATGATACAAAAACAAGGAAAATTTTATTTTGTGTATCATACAACAAACACTAGTTGTATGAGACAACTTTTTTGTTTCACAGTTTTTGTGGACCTAGATTTCTGTGGACCCAAATTTCTGTGGACCCAGAAGTGTAAGATTGGGGTCCACAAATTTGTGAGACAAAAAGGAGCTCCATACAACTAGTGTAAGTTGTATGAGACACAAAATAAAACTTTTCCAAAAACAATAACAATCAGGTCGGGTAGAGACATGCCTAAGAAGTCTTGGGGCGAGGTTATTATACGGGACATGACGCAGCTGGAGTTAATTGAGAACATGACCCTAGATAGGAGAGTGGAGGTCGAGAATTGGGGTAAAAGGCTAGTAGGTAGTCAAGTGTATCTCTTTGTCTTACCAGTTTGCTAGCATTAGTGTTAGTATGATATCCTTTTATTCATATATTGCTATTATTACTTAGAGTTTAATTGTTTCTTGGCTTTAGTACTTTATCTTGTTGTTATTCCTTCTTGTTGCCATTACTTTTGTCATTTGTTCTCCAGCCGAGAGTCTATCGGAAACAGTCTCTCTGCTGTAACAACCTAGCCGGTCGTTTCGAGAGTTATAGCCCCATTCCCCCATTTCCTTCTTCTTTTGTGTTCTACAACTATATTATGATATATCAGGTTAGTTGGTTCGGGTCCGGAGTGGATTCAGAGTGAATTGAGACACATAGTCTCTTAATTGAAAGCTTAAATTGAAAAAATTGATTGGATGTTGACTTATGTATAAATGACCTCGGATTTGAATTTTGATGGTTCCGTTAGCTCTGTTGGGTGATTTTGGACTTAGGAGCGTGTCCGGAATGTTATTTGGAGGTCCGTAGTAGCATTAGACTTGAATTGGCTAAAGTCAGAATTTTAGCGGTTTTGGCCGACAATGGAAATTTTGATATCGGGGTCGGATTGGATTCCCGAAAGTTGAAGTAGGTTCGTGGTATCATTTCTGACTTATGTGCAAAATTTGAGGTCATTCGAACGTGATTTGGTAGGTTTCAGCATCGTTTGTAGAATTCGGAAGTTTAGAAGTTCTTTAGGATTAAATCCGGGTGTAATTTTAGTATTTTGATGTTGTTTTGAGTGATTCGAAGGTTCGACTAAGTTCGTATAATATTATAGGACCTGTTGGTATGTTTGGTTGTGGTCCCGAGGGCCTCAGAGTATTTTCGGGTGGTTGACAGCTTGATTTGAGTTGAGGAAATTGATCGGCTCCAACCCTGCACCACTATATAATGGCGAGGAGTGGTCGATGAAGCTTTTACCCGAAAGGTCAGGATCGATTTTCACAGGGAGTTAATATTGGTTGAGAGTTGAGTTTCTATCTAATCTAGCTATGCGTGTTGCTTTTAATTACACTTCTAACTATGCTTGGATTTGTTTCTATTCTACTTTTAATGCTATCGATAGCTGAAAATAATCTAAGTACAATATTTTTGTAAGGGTTTTCTCAATTGATAAAAATCACTAGGAAAGTGACTTACACCTAGGCGAGTATCTAATGGGATATAAAATTTGGGACAAGCTTGTTATATTTGAGGTCTTGATATAACCTTTACACATAATTACCCACTCTATACCTCTCGGTAGTTTGAGTGACTTTGTCCTAATTGGCTTTCTCAAGCCTAATTGGGTATTCAAACAATGCAAGTAAAATTGGCTTAAGTCGGGTTTTATTATCTCTAGGTTTAACCCTTTAATTGGGGTTATCAATCTCTTGAATGCACCACAATTCCTTGTTAGCCTAATTTTCCTAAACTTAGTACCTCTTTCTCAAGAAGAGTCTAAGTCATAAATGCACGAACTAGTGTTTGCAACCATCAATTCTACAATTAAAGCATGGATCAAGCTAAATATCACTAACTCATAAACAATTAAGCCTTAAAATAGAAGACCCATTAAACACCACACACTAGGGTTGGGTCATAACCCTAGCTAATGCGCTTATCTACTCATAATCAAGGTAGAAATAAAAGATGAAGATGAAATATAAGCCATAAAAGTTGATTACAAGAATAAAATCTAAGAATATAAGCTAGAACTACTCTAAAATTATTCTAAATGGTAAAGTACAAAAGATAACCTAAAAATGTGAAAAAGATCTATTTATACACAACTAAAATTATTGGACAAAAATACCCCTACGAAGGTTCCACTGTCAACAAAATACTGAGCGCCTCAGCACATGGACTTCCGCGGCCGCGCAAAAACAAGCGTGGTCCGCATTTCTTCAATTTTGGACTGGGACTGGGTTTGGTTTTGCGGACAGCGTAAAGTTTATCGCGTCAGCATTGGCTTCTATTGCAGCCACATAAAATGTTCGCGGATCGCGTTCCTCATTTGAGCTCATATTGCAAGGTCTCTGATTCTCTATCTCGCCCTTAACGGAATTGCACCGCGGTCGTGTCAGGTACCTGACGCGACCACGCTATTTCTTCGCGGTCAGCGGTCTCTGTTGTACCCAAAATGCCTTCTCTAAATCTCAATTTTGCGAACAACGTACTTGTGGCCGCTTCAGCGGTGGACCTTTTGCGACTGCTCTTTTCCTTCGCGGTCAGCTCTTTTATCTCAGCTTTGAACTTGTGCAAATTTAACTCCTTCATGAGTTGGTTGTGGCTTTCTTGCCTCATTTTGAACAAACCCTGTAGACAAGCACAATAAGTCAGTTTTCAAAAATACTTTTACACATGTTTGATCCAAAACCTAAGCAAAAGAGAGCATAAGATAGTCTAAAATCCATAGTTATCAACTCCCCCAAACTTAAGCTTTTTCTTGTCCTCAAGCAAACAAAGTAATTCCCACCTCCACAAGATAAAAGAAAGAAAAATTTCAGCTGTTATAAGGTGACTTCATCAAGTATCAATTGGGACAAACAATTACCCTCAACACAAATGTATTATCAACAACACACAATCATTTTAGCACTGTTGGTCCAAGTAAATGTGAAGTTTTGAATACTGACAAAGGAACTCAGACATGGACCAGGTCCATCTTGTAAAGCACATTTATGATCAACTCAAACATGTGAGATGCACGTGAAAGAGACAAACCTAACTTATCAGAAATGATATCTCCTAATCATGATAAAAAAGGTTGCATATTGGATAAGGAGAAAGACTCTTTACATAAAGAGAACACAGTTTAGGAAAAGGATAGAGTTAGTGTTTGAGATCAACTAGAACTCTTCCACCATGGAAGAGTAACATCAATATCCTAGTCAATATCTAATTGCTAACCCCTTAAATATTAGTGTTGTTCTCTTTTAGAGGTAACTCACGTAAGCAGAAGTTAAGCGTGAATTGAGAGCAAAATAGCAAGGCAATTTATGTGTGATTCAAGCGTGCAAACCTGAAGCTACTTGAACCAGATTGAAGAACCAGTTCCAAATGTCTATCTTTTATTCTAGTTTAATTATAGTAGGTGATTTTATATTGCACCTTTCATCTTATTTAGAAGAAATTGTATTAGGTACTTAGAGTTTTCAAGTTAGAGATAACTTGAAGTTGTTGCAATAGTTGAGGCTGTGTGCCACAACGGAATTAGAGTTAATTCTAGGTTTACAAAAGAGTTTTTGCAGTTTTTTGGATCAGTGATTTTAGTGGAGAGTTTGGGAAAATCCTACTGGAAGGTAGTCGTAGTTTTTTTTACCTTTTGAGCCAGGTGTTTTCCACGTAAAATCTCCGTATTCTTTATTTTATGTATTTATTATTCCGCAACAGTAGTAGTTGGAACACATAGAAGAACTAGGAACTTTCTATAATCAAGTTAAACAAAAATTGGGTACCACACAAATCACCCCTCCCCCTCTTATGTGGTATTGAAGTATAAAATATCAATTGGTATCAGAGCGGGTTATCCTTGAAGAGGCTAACACCTTAGGAACAGATCAAGATGAGTGCACCACCTCGAAACTGGGAAGGACAATCCACTGCTAGGCCTCCACTCTTTAATGGCCAGTACTATTCCTGGTGGAAGAACATAATGAGAGACCACATCATAGGAGAAGACTATGAACTTTGGGACATTGTTACTGATGGTCCCCTGACTACTACAAAGAAGAATGCTGAAGGAGTGGACGTGTCAAAGACGAGAGCTGACTATTCTGTTGAAGATTTGAAGAAATGAAAAAAGAATGCCAAGGCCAAGAAATGGCTTATGTGTGGACTAGGTCCAGACGAGTACATCAAAATTCAAAGTTGTACTATTGCTAAGGAGATTTGGGACACTCTACAAGTGGCCCATGAAGGAACTCCTCAAGTAAAGAGATCAAGAGGAACACTGATGTATTCTCAATATGAGAATTTCACCATGAAGGAAGGTGAAACCATCCAAGAAATTTACACACGGTTCATAACACTAACAAATAAACTTAAGTCTCTTGGAAGAATTATTCTTGAAGAAGACAAGGTTGAGAAAATATTGACAAGGGTCTTGCCAGTAACTTGGGAAAGCAAAATCACTGCTATTCAGGAATCAAAGAACATTGTCATTCTAAGGTTGGATGAGCTGATTGGAAATCTCACTGCCTATGAACTGAGAAGGAAAACCATGAAAATGGATGCACCCAATAAGGAAAGAAGCTTGGCTCTCAGAATAGCTGAAGGTACAGACTTAGAGGATGATGAAATGACTATGATCACAAGGGATTTCAAGACGTACCTAATGAGAGGAAATGGTTC